AAAAGAAATTTGAAGATAAAGTAATTCTGACCATTTTCCCTCTTTCTTACAGTATGATCCTAGTTGTGAAATAGAGTCATAATTAATACTTCCCTTTGCATTCCATTTTGTCTTAAGAATTCTGGCAACTTCATGCCCTCTTCCTTCATTTAGTGTCTGGCTCCATCACCTCTACATCTTCTGTCACCTACTCAGACCTTTTTTCCTCTTCTAACTTTGGTAGATTTTAAAAGAGTAAGAGATTTTTATATTGAGTTTCCCATCAATGCAAGAGAAAAAAATTGGCATCCATTTTCATTTCTACTTGATTCCTATATTGTCAAGGTGTCTCCAAGTTGACTCTAGTCCACAGCAGGTGGCTACTCTCTAGAGAGAAACTGGAAGATAGGCCAGGTCAGACTAGCCACCCTTACCAGCTCACAACCCTATCTTCCAAGAAACTCACAATCCTAATTCTAGCAGGTATTTCTAAAAGTGCAAGCTACAATTGGTTTGGGTTTTAACAGTCATGTGTAAAGAAGGAAGCTTTGCTAACAAGAACAATAAAGACCACTGCTTTCTACTGTTTTTGGAAATGCCAAAGAGTGAGTTGGAAGTAGTTGGGGTGCTTCTCAGACTGCAAAAGAGATCATCTCTAGAGATAAAGTTAAATAACGACTTGGAGAAATCTTGCCCTGGTCCCTAGGGTGAAGAAGCCTCTAAGACATTTGTATTATCTACCTAATCACCTAGGCAACCTTCCCTAGCAGTAAGACAAGGCTATGCTTTATTCAAAGTCTAATCTAAAATGTTCTCTCTGAACCTCACAGATTAAACTTATACCAATCACATAGCAACCATAATTCACATTAGTAAAGGCACATTTATTGGTTTTCTACATGCACATGAAAGAAGAGAAAAGCAGAGGTCTCCCTGGGTGGGGTTGCTACTCCCTTTACCTGGCACATAACTTTGCTAGGGCTTTGCTCAGCTGCTGCAGCTGCACCCTCTCAGGAAAGCCCAGTCACCTTGTCTTCCTTCTCCTCCTATAGCCCTCCACCTTCCCACCCCACCTGGGCATTCCCCTGGCCTTGGCTGTCTCTTCTTCCCACTGCTGGCTCCCTTCATCAAGTTTGGTTGAACTTTTGAACCTGCCAATTACTACAGTCAGGGGCTCTGGGCAAGGCAAGGATGGGTTGCAAGCACTGCCCCTGCCCCTAGAATTCTTTGGCTGTCTGTCAGTGGCAGATCCTCCTGGCCATCGTCCTCTTGCCTTCTCATGTGTAGCTAATCCCTATAAGTCCCCATCATGGACAATGGGGTGTGTGTCACCAGGCAATGGAGCAGGGTAGAGTATGCATCAGCAGGGGAATGGAGAACCATGGGCTGCACATGGAGCCTGTGATGGCTCCCACAGCTCCCACTCTCTCAGGTCCTACTGGCTCATGGTGGCCAGGCTGAGAAAGGTGAGTTTGCCAGACCCATCCTACTTCAGGCTTGAAAGTGCACAGTTCTCATGGAAGAGAAAAGCCTCTCACTGAGAGGGCATTCTCCCCTATACTCGCCCACTACACCACCACACTGGGAAGGGCAGGGAGCCTTCACATTGGCCCCCAGGACTTGGAGACACTGAAGTCTCTCTCCATACTTCCCCAAATGGCCTCACCTTCTTGATCCCTTAGACACCAACCCTGAAGGACTAGGCATGGTCTGACAGTCCTCCATACCCTGTGACTCTCTGCCAAGTGACCTGTGGCCAGCTCTGAGCATTGCAAGTTGCATCCATCTACCTGAGGTGCAGGTGAGCTCCTCCTTTTAATGAAGATAGTTAAATTAGTTAGAAATTATTATAAGGCAGTTAGACAGAGCTGGGCCCTCAGCATAGAAAAACAATTGAGGCATATTCACTGGTTAGCATTATAAAAAGAGAAAAGGTACTGTAGTTACCTACTTCCCCTACAAATAAATAGCAGTAATTGATATTCTAAATAGACATCAATCTCCCTAGCGGATTTCCTTTCCAGAAATTCCTTGCTCATTCTATGTATGCTTGCATGACTTGTTTTCCCATTTGATCCCCATTTAATCAATATTACTTGGGTGACTATACTTGTCATCTTGGTTGATTATGGTTTTGTCCCACCTCATGCCCACCTTGTGATTCTTCATTGGATCTTATTAGTTGACTCACTTTTGTACCTGCCTTACCTCATGGCTTGCTTCATAAATACCCCTGGGAAATAGGGCCCTGGGTAGCCCACTTTCCAGTCCCCCCTCTGTCTCTTTTAAACAGAAGCTATCTTTCTCTCAATAAATTTTTTCCTACTCAGCCTGTTGTTTCTAGAATTCATCCTTTGATTTTAGAGAACATGAACTCATGTTTTGGATATCTAGCAGGTTGAAAGTTATATTTCCCTTGTTTGGATTATTTTTGCTTATTTGGATTACTTGCCCTATATAATCTTTTGGATTACTTGGTACCCCATATCATTTTGAAGGAAATAATTAACTGTCACCTAATCTTGCTCTTCTAGTGTTAATTTAGTGGGATGTTTACAGCTTGACACTTTCTACTTAAAACCAGGTTTCAGAAACAAATCCATAAAAGGATATTTTCTTGTAAAACCAGAGTAAACTAGTACTAACAATATGTTCTTAATTCAGATTTCAAGAAATAGGAAATTGGAGCCAGGTGTGGTGGCACCTGTATCTCAGCACTAGAGAGGCTGAGGCAGGAGGATGGCTTTAAGTTTGTGGCCAGCCTGGGCTCCATAAGTGAGTTCAAAGATGGCCTTAACAATGTAGGGAGGCCCTGTCTCAAAAAAGAAGAAAAAAAAGAAATCAGAGATACAGGAACTGTTCATTGATAGAGCACTTGCCTAAGATGCACAAGGTCCTGAGTTTGATCCCCAGCAGCACTGAAAAAAAAGAAATTATAATGACTTGAGCATTTTCTATGTATCTTCCCAGAGGTATTAGAAACAGCTAAGACAACATCTATTGAAAGTCTGTCTAAAAGAAGCCTTTTAAAAAAGTATCTGTGTATCCTGTGTTTCAAAATAAAACCTTTTTGTTGAAGGAATACAGTGAACAGCTGACCCGGAATTTTTAGAGGCTGACCACAGTTATTGAAAGCATGTGTGACTGTAGAAAATTGCTTTAACTTGCCAAGCAGGACCCAAACTCCATTGCTGGTGGCAGTGTAGACTGGTGCAACCACTGTGGAAATCAGTATGGAGATACCTCAAAGAACTAGGACTAGAGGTCCCATTTGATCCCAGCTATTCCCCTGCTGGGGATCTTCCCCAAAGAATTAAAAGAATCATACCACAGTGATATATGTGCACCCATGTTCATAGCAGCACAGTTTGTAATAGCTAAAACTTGGAAACAGCCCAAGTGTCCATCAACTGGAGACTGGATAAAGAAAACGTGTTTTTTTTCTAAAACGGACCACTACTCAGCCATAAAGAATAAGAACTTAGAGACATTTATAGTTAAATGGATGCACATTGAGGCCATATTCTTAAGTGAAATAAATAGGACACACATATGTAAATACCAAATAGTTTCCCTAGTGTGAGAAACTGAAAGTATAAATAAGGACTAAAAGGTATAATAGATAATGTGAAATAGGAAGAAAAGGGTCAAAGGGGAAGGGGAAGTAGGAGGGGTAAGGGAAAGGAAGGAAGGGAATGGAATTAATATGAGAAAATGAAAAAATGGAAACAAAGTCTTTGTAAATAGGGAGGGGTGGAGGGGTTGGAGGGCAGGGGAATGGGGGAAAAATAAGAACCAAGATAGATTATGTAAAGGTACAAATTTTGAATGTCATTATATTATATACCTAAAATGTACCAATAAAATTAATTTTAAAAAAAGATCTGGTAAAAGTGATTCAGAAACAGGGCTGTTTAAAGGGCTGGAGAGCAGAGTGGCACACCTGTTAATAGAGAAACACAGGTTCTTTTGGTAGTTTTTAATGAAACAGTGGCTCTGTATTCAATTAAAATGAGACTGAGACTCAATTGTGCCTTACATCACCCCCCACCATGTGGCCCTAGAGAGAGCGGAAGGCAAATGGCCACTGACTTTGTATGGTGAGCTTTAAGATAGCAGACTCCTGGGTGCAGTGTCTCCAAGTCACTATGTTGCCCAGGCTGGACTCGAACTTGGGATCTTACAGCTCAGCCTCTCAGAGTACTGGAATTACAAACATGCACCACCATGCCTAGCTAGACAAAGATTTTTCAAAAGATAAGATTTGTAACCCAGGTGTGGTGGTACATGCCTGTAATCCCAACACTCAGGACACTGAGGCAGGAGGAGGCTATGAGTACTAGGCCAAAAACAAAGAAAAAGAAAACATGTTCATTTGGCTTTCTGGGGTGTATTGAGACAGGGTTTTACTATATAGTTCAGGCTGGCCTTGAACTGGTGATCTTCCTGCCTCAGCCTCCCAAGTGCTGGAATTCCTGTCATATATCACCAGGCCCACTAAGACTTCTGTTAAGGAAGTGGTTTGTTATGAGTGAATCTTCTCAGATACAGTACTATATTTGCTTGGGCCTAGCCTGGGCCCATCATGAACAGATAGCTGGTTATCCCCAGTTTCTTCGGCTGTAGAGTTTCCAAATGTCAGGTAAACCTGATGCAACAGTGAAGAGTAGAGTGCTCTCCAGAACAAATAGCTTCTGTTCTCCCACTGCCCTCAAGCTGGGCAAGTGGTCATAAGTGGTACTGAGCTTGCTCATGTGACGGAGCCTGCCGTCACTTGTCGAACAGTACCTGAATGGGGGAGTGAGGATGAAGAAAAAGAAAGACGCAGAGATAGAGTCGGGAGCCTCTCCGAGAGACTGCCTGTGCTTTTTATTAGCAGCTCAGTGCCCTGAACTGGTGAGCTGCCCTTGACCCCTGGTTTGAGACGGCCTGTGCTTTTTAGTCTCCTCCCTTTTATTCGCAGGTGAGTTTGGTTATTAATCATGACCCTTATCCAAAAACACCTGCTTCCTTGTTCTCTAGTTCTTTGGAAATTCCCCACCCTCATGGGCTTTCTTGTTTCTCGGGTTTACAAAACGTTCTTCTGAAGGTAAACATCTAATTTGACAAGGACGCAGTTCCTTGTAACATAGTCTCCTTGCTCTATACAATGGAGGGTAAGATTTAACATGGAGCCTCTATGGCTAACACCGCTCTCCACACTCATGTGATCAGCAACCTTGCTGGTTTCATGGGGAGCATATGTGGGAAGGTGGTGATCATAATTGAAAGGTGGTGAGCAATGGAGTTTCTATTGTCTTGGGTTATGAAACTAGGACCTTTAATAACATAGCTAGTGTTCAATTATTATTTTCTTTCCTCCCCCTCCCCTTCTTCTTCCCCTTCCCCTTCCCCTTCCCCCCTTCCCCTTCTCCTGTTGGGGCTCTCACTATGTGCTATGTTGACCAGGTTGGGTTTAGTCTTGTAGTCCTCCAGGATCAGACCCTCAAGCAGTTGGGATTATAGGCATGGGCCTCAACACCTGGCAAAATTTTCTTGAAGTAGTTTCTTATAAGATTTTAAAAACTCAAAGCCTAGCCGGGTGTGGTGGCGTATGCCAGGCCTGTAATTCCAGGCTGAGGCAGGAGGATCAATGTGAGTTCAAGACCAGCCTTGGCTACATAGTGTGAACTACTTGGTGAGTCCCTGTTTTGTTTTAAAAAAAAAAAAAATAGATGGTGAAGGAAGAATGTTTTTCCTAAGGATTAATTCTTTCACCAGGTGAAAAGGCTGTTCTGCTCACACTTTTTAAAATACAGCTAACTGCTGCTTATCTAGCATTTTCCCCATGAGTCATGGCTAGAGTTGCTGGTTTACTCTGGTTTCAAGGGGAGAGGAAGCTCTTGTCTTGTAAAGAACAGGATTAGAGAGGTACCAGAATGGATTCAGGAATTACACAATCACACGAAGAGTGAATCAGCCCTGGAAGGGGGAATTTTATATTAGTTGAAGGAATGAGAGGCACATTTCCCAGGAGCTGGGGGGAATGGGAATTGTGTTGCTAATAGAACAGCCTGTGCCATTCTAATGCAGGAACCTGAACTTCAGGGCTGGGGGTTTAGCTCAGTGGTGCCAAGCCTGCCCTGCTAGGGCAAGGTCCTGAGTTCCATCTCAGATACAAAAAAAGAAGGAAAGCAAGAAAGGAAAGAAAGAAAAGAAACCTGAACTTGATCTGGGATACAAAGCAAGGGTCCAGCTTTGCGTGGTAGTTCATAAGCATATATGGTCTTCCAAAGTGAATTTTTCTGAATTAGGCCTTCAATGAAGATCTCCCTCCACCCTATACTGAGGGTCTGACCCTGAAGGCACTCTGCCAATGAGCTACATCCTCAGCTTTTTATTTTTTGAGACAGTTTCACTAGATTGCCCCGGCTGCCTCGAACTTGTGATCCTCCTGCCTCAGCCTCAGCAGTAACTCAGATTATAGCCATGTGCCAACTGTGCCCACCTCCAACAAAGAGTTTTGCTTATGAAATAGTCCCTGGGAAAGAGTGGCCTCTGTCTTTGAATGTTAATAAGTCATCTAGGTGTGACATTTCCACATTTCTCATCTGATGTGTCATTCTGACATTTTTCTTTCTTCCTCCCACAGCGTGAGTGCATCTCCATCCACGCTGGCCAGGCTGGTGTCCAGACTGGCAATGCCTGCTGGGAGCTCCACTGCCTGGAACATGGTATCCAGCCCAATGGCTCATCCCAGGCAAGGAAGATGCTAATAACTATCCCTGAGGGCACTGCACCATAGGCAAGGAGATCATGGACCCCTGTCTCAGACCAAATTTGGAAAGTGGTAAGCACAGCACTTTAAACATTTTAAAGTAGGGTTAGAGTTTGCTCTTGCAGTTTTCTATTTTGTTCTGTTTGTTGAGACAGTCTCACTGTGTAGTCCAGGCTGGCCTTAAATGTGCTATGGGGCCCAGGCAGTGATCCTCCTGCCTCAGTCTCCCAAGTGCTGGGATTATAGGTGTGCACCACCAGGCCTGATTACACAGTTATATCCCTTTTTTTCCCTACATGCTTGAAATATTTTATTTTGAAAAGGGGAAAACCTGAACCAGGTATGGTGGCATAGACCTGCAATTTCACCTACTAGGGAGACTGAGGCAGGTGGGCCAATTGTGAATTCAAGCCCACTCTGGGCAATTTAGTAAAATCATGTCTGAAAAACTCAAAACGACTGGGGATGTAACTCAGTGGTGGAGCACTGCTGGGTTTGCTCCCCAAAACTGCTAAGAAAAACAAGAAGAAGGAGGAGAAGGAGGGGGAGGAGAGGCACTGCTGACAAACTCCTATAATCCCAACACCCAAAGGCTGAAACACGAGGATCCACACAAGTTCAAGGCCAGCCTGGTGAGAGACCTTGTCTGTACCCAGTCTGTACACACCGAAAGAAAAGGAAAAAAGATAGGGGAAAAATGCTATATTGCCCTTTCTAAAAATTAGCTGAGACCAACAGGGAGCACTGTACCATCTGTGTCAGGAAGGGCAAAGAGCTGAACTTGATGACTTCTAAGATCTCTCTGCATCTCCAGAGTCCAAAATTTCACAATTTTCCCTGCTCTCTCAAGCCAAGTTTTCATTATGACTTTTCTTTTTTTTTTTTTTTTTTTTTTTTGGTACCAGGGATCAAACTCGGGACCTTGCACTTTTGAGGCAGGCGGTGGGACCACTGAGCTAAATCCCCGGCCCCTCAAATATTTTTTGAAGAGGTCAAAAAGTAGGGACAAAGGAATGGAATCTCTCAAAGCATGTCTGTTAAATTCTTCTTCCCCCTCCCAAGCTCCATCCCCAACAAAAACAGCAAAAAGTTCTCAGATCCAGGGTGACCTTGCCTAAAGGGATTCTTGGTTTTTTTGTCTACCCTGGTACCTTAGACAAGTGTGCAACCCCAAAATCATAGGCCTATTTCCATCAGAGAAAAAGAAAATGGTTTATAGCCTGTAGTCTTTTCACTTCAGAGATGAGGGAGCTTTTCCCCAAGACCCAGGAAGTCCTGGGAACAAAATCATCCTGAAAGGAATCTTAGAGTAAGCAGGAGATTTTTCTACACTTCCTGTATTTTCAGAGGGAAAATTAGGATATAGAGTAAAGCAAAGAGGGAATGAAAATAATTGGTAATCTGAATGTCAACTTTCTGAAATCTTCATTTAGACAAAGGTAACTTTTCCTAATCCCTCTGCCACTGTTCTGCCCTGTCACCTGTAGGCCTGGGTGCTTCTGGGTCTTTCCTCTATTCCATTCAAGGTTCTGTTCAGTAGTAAGTCTAAATCATTCAGAAGTTCACAGGTGGCCAGGCAGGAAAGAACAGAAGAGTGAGCCCTTTAGACTCAGACGGGAGGGTTCTCAAAGATATTGCAGTTCAAATTTTGACTTTCTGTTACACTGAGTATCTAAGCAGTGTACTAGTAGGGAGATATGGGAGTACAGGAATGCAATCCACTAAGAGGCAACAGCAGAATATTTGGGAAAAGGGAAGTGGTGGAGACAGACAGGCCAGGTGTGAATGTAGCTCTACTGTACTATTGTAGGCCTTTCTAAAAATTATTTAGTCTCAGAACTGACTCATTGTTTTATTTTTTGAAGCAAAACATGTATTGGTACTGTTTAGATATACACAATGATCACATTGATCATAGGGAATTTGTACCTGTATATGGTTTATCTTCCTTCTTCTTTTCCCATCCCCCTCCCTCTGAGCCCTCTGCCCCTCCTTACTTATAAAAGCTTTGTTTCCATTTTTCCTTCCATTCTCTCTTTTTTCTTCTCTCTTCATTCCTTTCCACCACCCCCTCCCTTGTTCTCCTTCACATTTGAACATTTTCTTCCAATTTCCAAAAATCTATTATATATTTTGATCCTTATTTCATTTTCAGTTTCTCATACTAGAGAAATAATGTGATATTTAAACATGTGTATCTGATTTATCTCACTTAAGAGTCTGCTCTCAAGATGCATCCATTTAGCTAGAAATGTCTCAAGCTTATCCTTCTTTATGGTACAGTAGTACTCCATTGTATAAAAAAATCTTCTTTATCCTTTGTCAGTTGATGGGCATTTGGATTGTTTCCAAGATTTACCAATTACAAACTGTGCTGCTGTAAACATGGGCATGCATATATCACTGTGCTATGATGCTTTTAATACATTAGGAAGATACCAACAAGGGGAATAGCTGGGTCAAATGGAACCTCTAGTTTTAGTTTTTTGAGGAATCTCCACACTGATTTTCACAGTGGTTGCACCATTCTACACTCCCACCAACAGTAGAAAAGAGTTCATTTTTCCCTACAGACTCACCAGCATTTGTTACTAGTTGATTTCTTGATAATAGACATTCTTTCTAGAGATGGAATCTCCACATTGTTAATTTACATCTCTTGAATGACCAACGATTTTGAACATTTTTTATGTATTTATTTTCCATTTCTACTTCTTCATCTGAGAAGTATGTATTCATTTCAGATGCCTATTTTTGGATAGGGTTTTTAAATTTGGGTGGTCTGGTTTTTTGAATTCTTTATATATTCTAGATATAAGTCTTTTGTTTGAGGAACAGCTGGAAAATTTTTTTCCTATACTGTGGGTTGTCTTTTCGCTCTGTTGGTGGTTTCTTTTGGTGTGTAAAAGCTTTTTAATAAGATGAGATCCCAGTTGTTGATTTTTTGTAATATTTCCTTTGTCATTGGGGTTTTGTTCATAAAGTCTTTGCCTATACCAATGACTTTATTCTACCTAGTCCATCTTCCAGCAGGTTTAGTGTTTCTGCTTTAATATTTAGATCTTTGATTTTAGTTTTGTGGATGGTGAGAGATATGGGTCTAGTTTTAATCTTTGGCATGTAGAAAGCCAGTTTTTCCAGCAGCACGTATAATGAGGCCATCTGTCTTCCACTTAAGGTGTCTGGCTCCTATGTTAAAGATGAGGTGACTGAGTATGTTTGTAGTTGTTTCTACATCTTGTAATCTGTTCTACTGATCCTCATGTCTTTTTTTTCCAGTACCATGCTGTGTTTATCACAATAGCCTTGCAATATAATTTCAAGTCAAGGCTTATGATGCTCTCTGCCTTGCCTTTGTTGGCCAGAATTGCTTTTGCTATTCTACATCTTTTCTGGTTCCAAATGAATTTCAGGATTGTTTTCTCTAATTCTGTGAGAATTGTTTTTTCTAATTCTGCTATTGGAATTTTGATCAGGATTGCTTTAAATCTGTGTAATAACTTTGAAAGTATGGCCATTTTTACTGTATTGCTTCTTCATACTGAAGAACACAGAATATCTTTCCATTTTCTGATATCTTGATTTTCAGAGTACTGTAATTTTCCATGTAGAGGTCTTTTACTTCCTTCATTAGATTTATTTCTAGGTATTTAATTTTTTTGGATGCTATTGTAAAAGGTGTTATTTTCCTCATTTCTCTATCAGTGAGTTTATTATTTGTGTACAAGAATTGATTTTTGAGTGTTGACTTTGTATCCAGCTACACTACTGAATTTGCTTATTATATCTAGAAGTCTTTTGGTGGAATTTTTGGGGTCTTCTATGTAGAGTATTATGTCATCCACAAATAATTATAATTTAACTTCTTCCTTTCCTATTCTTTTTCCTTTATTTCTTTCTCTTATCTAATTACTTTGGCTAATTTTCCAGAACTATACTGTATAGAAGTGGTGATAGTATACATCCTTACATTGTTACTGATTTTAGAGTGAAAGCTTTCAGTTTTTGTCCATTTAATATGATGCGGGATTTTGATTTGTCATAGATGGCTTTTATCAGATTAAGATAAAGACCATTTATTCCAATTTTCAGTAGGGTTTTTGTCATGAATGGGTGTTGGACTTTGTGAAATGCTTTTTCTGCATCTATTGAGAAGATCATATGATTTTTGTCCTTGGCTCTGTTAATATAGTGTATTACATTTATTTATTTGCATATGTGGAGCCATCCCTGCATCCGTGGATGAATCCTAGCTGGTCATAGTGTATAATTTTCTTGATGATTTGCTGCATTCTGTTTGCCAATATTTTATTGAGGATTTTTATATCTATGTTCATTAAAGAGATTCACCTGTACTTCTCTTTTTTTGTTTGATCCTTCCCTAGTTTTGGTTTAAGGGTAGTACTTGCTTCCAGGAATGAATTTGGGAGTACTGCTTCCTTTTCAATTTCATTAAAGAGTTTAAGGAGTAGATGCATTAGGTTTTCTCTAAAATTCTTATAGAATTCAGCAATGAATCCATCAGGACTTGGGCTTTTCTTTGTTGGTAGTTTTTTAATTACATCTTTGATTTCATTGACTGATATTGGTTTATTTCAAATTTTCATATCTTCTTGATTCAGCTTTGGTAGTTCATATATATCTGGGAATCTGTCCATAACTTTTTTGTTTTCTATCTTATTAGAATATAGGTTCTTTTTTTTTTTTTTTACCAGGAATTTCAGGACCTTGCACTTGCCAGGTGCAACACCTCTGAGCTACATCCCTGGCCCATTAGAATATAGGTTCTTGAAGTAGGTATTGATGATCTTCTGGATTTCTGCAGGATCTGTTACGATTTCACCCTTTTCATTCCTAATTGCATGGATTTGAGTACTTTCTTTCCTTTCTTGGATAAAGCTGGTGTGGTGAATTAACTAATGGTCAACTTGGAACACCCAGCTGAATTGAGTCAGCATGGTTTGGGTGTGGAAGGCCTACCAGAGGATTGTTGCCAACAGCATAAAAAGAGAACTGGAGAGAGAAATCATGGGCTATTGATTTTCTGAGAGAAGCTTTCTGCAGTTGGTTTG